GAAGTGTGCTTGAAAACCCCTAGTGGTGACCACCTGGAGCTGTTCTGGCCCCGGGCAGGCTGGGGCAGGCTGGGACATACACTTCGGAAAGGTCAGCATGGTTGCAGGGTGGAGGGTGAGTGGAGAGGAAGAGGAAGATAGTGGCTGCAAGGCTGTGGCTGAATCCACAGGTAGAGAACCAGACTTCCCAGATGACTCACTTTTCACCTCCGTCCAGTGCCTGGCTACACCTGGCAAAGCCACAGCTCAATTTGTAGACCCGCCGATGGAACTGAAAGTCTGGCGTAAAAAGATAATAGAGTCTGGAAGAAAGAGAGCTCTTGACTCTCCCCCCCGTGGTCCCACGGTATGGGGAGGTGTCATGACTGAAGATCGGGAGCTGGGGTTTGTTCTGAGGGTGGAAACACTTAAGGTTTTGAGGAGCTATTGAGACCGACACTACCGAGCCCCTGTTTCCAGAATCCAGCCAGGCCCCATCTGTTATGTCCGCACTGTGGAAAAGAGACCTTTTTTCTTTCTTTTCTTTTTTTAATAAAAAAGCTTTCAAGGCTTTTGCAAAAGATCATCTTAACAAAAGAATGATAGCTTTTCTATACCAAACCCAACCCACGGCCTCTGAGTCAGTCCTCCAGGTAAGGACCCTGTAGCAGAGAGAGCAGAACTTCTCCACAGCATGCTGTCTCATCTTCCAAAGAATGCCTGGTGGGTTCTAACGGCCCAATGCCTCAGCCTCAGTCCTACTGAGGAGCTAGAAAGTCCAAAGTTTCTTAAAGACTTATTGTTGTGGAATCAATCACAATTCAAAACAGCCCTGACTGTGCTCTGTGTTTTCTCAATGGCTGACCTTTGTTTAGTAAATTGCCAGGACTTTCTTCTTCGGCACCTCTGGGTAGACATGACCTTCCAACCTTTTTATTAGTAGCTAATCACATCACCCTTTCCCCCCCCAAGCCTAGGAGCTCAAAGGTGAAAGAGGTGTCCACTGAGGATGGTAAAAGATGAGAGTCCACTGGAGGCAACTCCAGCTTCCCAAACTAGAGTGTGCATTTGGACAAAGTGCCCGGAGAGGGTCCAGCCCTGCCCACTCCTCTGGTGTCTGTGGTTGTGTCTTTCAGAAGGAGCAGGATTGATGAGAACATCCCACCAACAAGGTGGCAGTGCCAGTCACCTGGGTGGACAGCATCACTGCAGCCTGGCCTGTGCTGGGCTTCTCACAGGCCCCATCTCTAAACTCAGCACACCTGAACACCAGCCTCTCAGCTCTTCACCCTTGCCACTGTTGGAAAGTCCATGAGGATATCTCCCCTTTCCACACAGATTAAGACAGCAGGACAGGAGTGAAACTCTCGTCCCCCAAAATGACTATGGATTTGGGAACAAAATGTTAGAAAGTAGGGACTGCGCCCAAGAAGCCGGACACGAGGCCCTTCGAGTTTGGGGACTATTACAGAATCCTCACCCGGGCCAGCAGTGAGTCATAGTGAAAGCTTTTCAAATAGAAAACCATCAACCTAGATTTCAATTCCAAGGAAACATACTTGGCCATGAGGGAATGCTTAAAAAAAAAAAAAATCAGGCTTAAGCCACTTGACAGGAAAACAAAACAGCCAAGAAACATTCAGCTCTAATGATGTACATCCTGTGCAGCTCCTTTCCAGCGGGGTCAGGGCTGCGGGGCGCAGCTGCGGCCTGTGTGCCTTCTCCCTGCTCCCCACCCTGGCCCGGGTGCAGTCCTCCGCGGCACCGTGCGGCTTGCTATTGCCAATCGCTTCCTCATTTCCCTGCCGTTCGGCTCAGGGGTTGCTTGGCATGGCTACTCTTTAGAGAAAACAAGGACTTCCCCGCTTCTCCATTATTAATGTCTGCAAGTGTAGCCCCCAAAGAAACGGAGGCCTGATTGAGCTCCTAAATGTCAAAAGGTTGTCCCGCAAGAAATGTTTCAGACTGACCAGGAAAGGGCCACCACCTGCTGAAACACGAGGCCGGGGTGTACTTTGTTAAGCTTTCTTGGAGAAGCGAAGGAATCCTAACTGTCCGCATGTTTGTTCAGCACCTGAGTTGACAAAGGCTCTCTCACTTATCTCACTTGATCTTCTCTCCAACCCCAGAAAGGGAGATAGGGCGCGATGACGAGGAACATGAAATCCCCCCACTTGTCTCCCTCCTAGCAGCTAGGGTCTCCCACGGCTCAAAGTCGCTCCGAGGAGGCTTAGAAGTTTGGGGGAAATCGCGGGTCTTTCATTCATTCCTGCACGAATTTAACAAACATGCATCCGCCGGCTGCGCGGAGCAGACGAGATGGCAGTGGGTACAAAGGTGAATAAAGCTCGGTCCCCGCATCGCTGTAGCCCCGGGGAGAGGGCGACAATAAAGGCTTTGCGCGGCGAGGAGTGCAGCGCGCACAGCCGCATTTTCAATGCCGTGTTCTTGGCAATTCTTCTCCCCTCCCTCAAAAGCAGTAGGGGGGTTGATGGTGTAAAGGGGGGTCTCATGCCGAGGGTGAACGCTCTCCCTCCTTCGGCAAATATGTCCTGGGGTGCGCTCTGTGCCGGGATGGGGGGCTCGGTCCCCGGCTCCGCGGCCTCTGCTCCACGGGAGAAGTCGGGGTCCCTGCCTCTTCCATCCACCCGCAGCCCCACGCGCAAAAAGAAGCTTCCCGCTCTCCGTGGGGACCGCGGCACGAGTCGCCCGAGCGGGAGACCCGCCGCCTTCGTCTCCCCCGCGCCCCCTGGCTCCGGCAGCCGGCGCCCCTTCCTCTCAATGCGCTCGCCCGGCGTGCTCTCCTTTTTTCTTTTTCTCTGCATTTTTATATTTTCCCCAAAGATATTTTAAAATTCTCAGCTACACAACTAAGTGCTTAAAGCATTTTCCTTGAGAAGAAAACAAAGCCCTAGGTCGGCCGGCGAGGCCGCCTGCACCCCGACTCGGCGCGCCCCTCGCGGGTCTTTGTGCTCGGCGGCCGGCTCCCCGCGCTCGGACTCGGCTTCGCGGGGCCGTGCTCGGGAAACGCGCGTGTGCGCAAAGTTTATTCCAGAAACCCACGCGGGAACGGGGTCGCTCCCAGTGTCCGGGGACACCTCCTTTTGGGGGACATCACCCCTTTTTTAGGACACCCCCCTTTTTGCAGGCCCGGCTCGCTCGGGAAGAGGAGCCGCCAGTCCTGGCGCAGGCCAGGTCGCTCAGGCACCGGCTCGGCTCGGCTTCCCGAGTCTCAGGCTCGGGCTCGAGGGTCCAAGGTTTTGGGGTCTCCAAAGAGTCATGCTTGGGGCCCTGGTCTCCGAGATCTCGAGGATCACATTTGGGTTCTAGGGTCTTGTGGGCCAGCTCGGGCTGGGGTCCCGGGGTCTCGGAGTTGGGATTCAGGCCGGCGCCCGAGGTCTCAGGGTTCACACCTCTGGGTCTCGGGCATTGGGCTTGGGCCCCGAGGTCTCTTGGCGCCGGTTTAGGGTCCCTAGTTTCAGAGTCTGGGCTTGGCCCCTGAGCCTCGGGATTCGGTTTCAGCTTAGGTTCGGACTTGGGGGTCTCGAGCCACCGGGCGCACGGCCGTGGTCCCCCTTTGACCTTGCCCACCTCCGCTGGCCGGCTCCCAGCGCGGCCCCCCAAGCCCGGATCCCGCTGCCCGCGCCGTCTCTGGGGGCGAGTCCCGGGTAAGGCAGGCGCGGAGCTGAGCCGGCAGCGCCGGAGCGAAGACCCCCCGACTCTCGGGCGCGCGCGCCGGCCCCCCGAGAGAGAAAAGTTTGTTTTCAGCGGGGTGGAGAGTGACGGGGGCACGTTCCCACTTGAGGTTTTGCAACCCTGCAGTGCCCTCTTGAGAGCGCGGGACCCCGAGACCCCCAGAGGGGCGGTGCGGAGGCCGGAGAGGGCCTGGAGCTGGCTTTTTCCCTTTTGTGATATTTATTTTTTGTCCTGGTTGTTTTTCTAAACAGCCTTTTCACAGAGAGCGAGCGGGCGGGCGAGCGGCTGCAGCGGCGCGTGCTCAGCCTCCGGGGCGGGGTGCCCCCTTGGCGCGCCCGCCCCCCTTCCCGCGCCTGCCCGCCGCTCGGCTCCACTCGAAGGGGGAGCCAGCGCCTCGGCGGAGCGCGCGCAGCGCGGGGCCCAAGTCCCCGAGTTCGGGCCCGGCTGCCAGCCATCCCCCAGATCGGGCCCGGACTGTGCGGGGGAGATGGGGGACTGTGCGGGGGAGATGGGCCCCTCCCCACGAGCACCCCAGCGCAGGGCGGCGCGCTCAGCGGCCCGGGGCAGGGAGGCGGGCGGCGATCCGCGCGCGGAACCTTACGAGCAAGGCCCGTGAGCGTCGCAGGGGGGCACTCGTGAGGGACGGACAGGAAGCGGGCCGGTGGGGACGCCGGAGCCCGGGACCACACACGGAAGCGGCCCGGGCCGGGCTGCAGGCGCATCCGGGCTGCGGGGAGCGGGTCCTGCTGCTGCCCCGCTGGAGGCCTAGGCCGCCCGGGGACGGGGTCAGGAGGTCGGCCCGGCCCCGGCCGCAGAGGGCAGCCCGGGGCGCTCCGAGTGGAGGGCCCAGATCTGCCGTGGGGTGTCCTCGAGGGCCCGAGAGCTAGGCCTCTAGTGGGGACACGGAGGCAGGCCCAGGCGTGGAGGGCGCGGCCCCGACGCCGCAGAGCCCATCCAGGGGTGGGGGGCTAGGACCCCCGGGGTCTCGGGCGCCAGGGAAGGTAGGGGGCTTCGGGCGGGACCACCGGATTGGCGATTCACACGCTTGTGGATCCGAGGTTGGATTGGGGAGGGGTCTTTAGGACACGGGCTCGCCCGCCAGGATTGGGGGGATCCAAGTGCTTGGAGATCCGATCGGAGCCTGGGTAGGGGGAGTCAGACCATCGGGAAGCCCAGGCAGTTATTTGGGGAGGGGTCTTCGCGCCTCGGCCCCGCGCAAAGCAGCGCCCGCGGGGCCGGGAGGCGCGAGGCCTCGTCGACGGAGGCGTCGTCCCCGGACGGGCCGTCGAGGCCACGAGACACAGTGCACCCACGGCCACGTGGTGGGGGGGCCCCTGCCCGGGGGGTCACGAGGGGCCGCCATGGCCACCAGGCGTTTAACCGACGCTTTCTTGTTGTTGCGGAATAATTCCATCCAAAACCGGCAGCTGTTAGCCGAACAAGTGAGTAGTCCCACCACCGCGAGCGCTCGGCGTTCACGTAGCCATGCTGCGGTGAGTCCCCCCACACACGCCCGCGGCTCGTCTGTCTGTCTGTCTGTCTGTCTCGCTCGGTCTAAGGCAAAGGAGCCCCGCTCCCCCTGCGCGCACTTCCGCAGCCCTCCCCGCGCAGCGCGGCGTCACCGCCCATTTACATATGCTTCGGCCCCGAAATGGGCAAAATCCGGCCCTTTTTGGGGCCGCCTGCCCTCGTGGCTTGAGCCTCTCCCCGCCCCCCGACCCCGAGCCTGCAGATGCGCCCCCCTCTCCCTCCCCCTCCGGGGCGCAGAGACTTGTTTTTCTGCACGGATTTTTCTCGAAAAGGGGCCTCTGTGCGCCGGGGATGTTGTTTTCCTTCCCGGGCTCGTGCTTATCAAGCGGTGGGGGTTCAGCCCTGCGCTTTCCCGTTTGTTGCTTTCTGGGTTTTTTTTTTTCCCCTCTCCCAGACAGGAACTGCAACTTGCCACCCCCGCCCTTCTTTCCAACTTTCCAAACAGCCCAAAGCAGCGCCATGATGGGCCTGTGAAAATGAGCCCCCAGACCCCCAGCCTTTGTGTTGGGGACCTGAGCCCAAGGAGGGTCTTTCTTAGGAAGTTCCTAGAAAGAAGCTGGGAGGCGTTTGGTGTCCAGAAGGGGCTGCTTTCCCTTGTGGGCCTTAAGACTTCTGCTCTGTTAGATAAGGGGAAAGGTCTGCATGCTACCTGGACACTGGTTATTCCTGCTGGAAGTCTCTTACCCTTTCTAGAAAGTCTGGAGGCATTTGGTGTCCAGAAGGGGCTGCTTTCCCTTGAGGGCCTTAAGGTTTTTTGCTCTGTTAAATAAGAGGAATGGTCTGCATGCTACCTGGAGACTCTATTCCTCCTGGAAGTCTCTTAACCCTTTCTAGAAAGAAGTCTGGAGGCGTTTGGTGTCCAGCAGGGGCTGCCTTCCCTTG